TTCTTTTAGTTAAACATAGACATGTTTGCTATCTACAGAAATGTGAGAATCTTGGCTACAAGTTGGTAAAAACATTTCTATGAACACTCAAGATGGTTAAAAGTACAAGCGATTGAAGATAGAACTATGAAAGTGAAAATAAAATGGATTTAAAATTTGGCAAGTCGGAAATGTCAAAATATTATTTGTGGTAAATCAGAGGCCTAATGTGTTCTTTTTGTTTTTGATGTTTTATTATCACTACTTTTATTGTAGGGTTATGTATGTTGTATTCATGATTAAACGCAGCAAAATAAACTATTTCAAAGGTAACAGATCTTTGTAAAATTTAGTGTAATTACAAAATGATTTGCTGGATGTTCGGCCCCTCAGCTGTTTGCCAGCAGTAACTGTGGCCCCCGGAGCAGTTTTGTTGAATAGCCCTGCCCTAGAATGCTTAAAAAAGTTATTTTTTTCTCCCGTTCATTTTTACAATGACGAACACCGACGAACTTTAATCTAGGTCTTTTTTTCTTGGTTGTCCACTGGACAACTGGGAGGTGGGATCTGGTTGTCCGAAACCAAAATAGGTTGTCTCGGACAACCTAAACAATGGTTAAGTCGACCCCTGGCTGTGCAACAGTTGTTCAAGTGCTGCCCATAACATATAGCAGTTTTGTTTAATGACACTTTCACTTTGAACTTATCACACTGATGAAAAAAGTGAGAAATGTACTGTTCTGTTTGGCATGTTGGACTSGCATGGTGCATTTCAGGACCTCTTCAGTTTTGCGTGTCTGGTGGCTAAAGGCACAAAAGACTGATGTGTCCTCACATCGGAGGGAAGATAGTTAGTCTTTGTTGTCTTCATCAGGGCTCAATTTCTTCTGCATGGTCATCCAGCTGGCCTGTGGCCACTGACTTGTTCAAGRATGGCTGAACTTCATCATTGGTTATTGAGTCTGTTGAATGTAATTGATAAAATAAAAAAAAGAGGAACTGTTTTATAGAGATGAGATGTTGATAGATTATATTAGCAAAAGTTGAGGGTTAGAGTTTGGTATATTACCACCTCTATTGACAGATTTTCAGTGGTAAACCCTGACATGATTTAAGTCATGCTAACTTAGAAATTGTTTAGTGATGAAACATTAGAAGCAAAGCCAAGTGTAGCCACCCAAGAGAAACATTTTAATGTTTTAGAGAGGCCTTATATACAATACATATRCATTCGTATGAATATCTCATCATATTGGTTACTTTTGTTAAAACATTACCCTGTTGAGTGGAGCACTGAGTCATATTCAGAAGAAACAAATATATGTATTTTAATTAAAAGWGTGATCATGAAATGGCTGCTATTCTATTTAATTTTAAGCTTTGGTAAATATTTTCTAATAACATTCCATTTGCAGGATATCTAAAGACAAATGGTGAATTTGTCTTTGGATGCTTTGATAGTTTTTATTAAGCAATGACATTTWTATGTGAACCATCACATCAAACAGAGGATWAAATCAAATTTAGGGATCATCCTGATATCATGAGCAGTTCCAGAGATATGGCTTGAGATGTCTTCCTAATCAGGACAACTCATTCATATTTGGTCTGAATCTTATTTTTAGGTTNCTAGGGCTGTGTATTGGCAAGAATTTGGCGATACGATACATATCACAACAGAGGGGTCACGATACATTATATCCCGATATATTGCGATACTATAATCAAGGCGATATATTGCGATTTTTTTGTCCAAAAATTCTGTTA